CTGCTGTTTCTAAGTGCAGCCTCACAGAGCTGCTAGTGTGAAGCATCGTTTCTTTATGGTTGTTTCAATACTCACTGTCTCTGCTTCTCTTATGTTTTGCAGTCACCGTCATCATGTTCTACACGACCAAGAGGTGGACAAACGTATCTGTGTTCCCATGAATCACCTGTGGGCCAATCAGGCTCCTTATACTGTCTGCAACAGCTCCTTATCAGAGTTTGGAGTGCTAGGTAAGACTGAAGCCACTCTGGTCACTTTGGTAAGTCATTTTGTGGCTCATTGTAATGATGACTGTCACTTCAGGTTTTGAGCTTGGCTTCGCCATGGCAAGTCCGAATGCGCTGATCCTCTGGGAGGCCCAGTTTGGAGACTTTAACAACACAGCCCAGTGTATCATTGACCAGTTTATTAGCTCGGGCCAGGCCAAGTGGGTCCGCAACAATGGTATTGTGCTGCTGCTGCCACATGGGATGGAGGGAATGGTGAGAAGAAATAAACCAGGTTATACTGTGTCATTCTGCAGTATTTACAAGGGAATTTGGATATTTCTGGCATGTATTTTAGTGGGATTTCTTATCCATTTTGTCATTAAGTTTCTTGTCCTTTTTCTCTTCTGTCCTCAGGGCCCAGAACATTCATCAGCTCGACCCGAACGCTTCCTGCAAATGAGCAAAGATGATCCCGATCATTTCCCTGTACGTTCACATGTACAATTTCTATTATGGCTCAAATGGGTACCGTTTTTGAGGTCATGATTAAGTCATATAATATGTAAAAAAATAAAGTGCACAGCACTCCACAATGTGCTGCAGTTAACTTCTGATAGCTTCCTGTTTTATTGGCTATGCTGATGTCATGACCACTTAAGTGATGGCTTAAGTGATGGCTTAAGTGATGATTGCCAATTTCTCTAGAGATGAAAAGTCTCTTCATTATGCCGTCCAAAGCGCTGGTATTCAGCAGTAACTCAGGTCTCAGGGTGAGCTGGTACGAGGGAACGTTCAAGGAGGGAACCACAGCGGGCTGTATCAGCAGAAGCCTACCAGATTCATCTTCAAATGGGATATTGATCAAACTATTAGCGGGAGCATAGTAAGGGATTAACATTCTCTGTCGTGTGTGTGTGTGTGTGTGTGTGTGTGTGAGAGAGAAAGAGATACAGTGCGCTGATGCACTTATGCGCTACATCGCCTGCCCAATCATGAGAAGAAACATTGCTGCAACCAACACAATAACTCACAAAGTTACATTTGTTTTCAGAGTCAACAGTCTTTGTAATTCCTTTGTAATTGTTTTTTTTTTTTTATTCTTACGAAGGAGTTCAGTGGAGATTTTGAAGTCCAGCAGCTGAATGACTGTAACTGGATTGTGGTCAACTGCTCCACACCTGCTAACTACTGTCATGTGATCAGACGGCAGATTCTGCTGCCATTCAGAAAACCGGTAAAGTGTAACATCATCCTCACTATGCTGTATCTTGCTTTGAAATGCTGCATAGATTGCATTGAAATCCATAAAGCCAATACTTACTAGTCCAGATAGTCATTTGTAGTACGGAACAACACTTACATTTCCAGTTTGACCTGTATTTAACTTTGAGGAAAACAGCAGCTTTTTTGAACAAAATCAGTCTAAAAATTGGGGTTATGTCCTAATTTTGTATGTCCTATATATATATCGCTTATGACAGACATACTGTCAAAATGACTTAATATGATACAAAACTACAACCATTCTTCAAAAAGAATCAGTACAAATATAGTTCTTTATGTTCTTAATTAGTACTTTGAACCCCTAAAGTAGTTTGGGTAGAAAGTTTTTCGGGTGTAAAGCATTTCTCCTCTTCTGTATAAGCACAGTTCTTTTTTCAGTCCCTCACAGTTTTCAGAGCGAATGTCTTAACTGATCCCCTGTCGCACATAAATGCAATGCTTCATGAAGCATGAGAAAATTACTTCCCAAGCAAATTAGTGAGGAGGCCAATAGGGGATAATATTGTTTGTTTTTTATGAAAAACTCTGAAATTCTGGACTTGGTCGGCTGAGCACAAAGGGTTTTATTTATTTAATTGTTTAAGAAATGTTTTGTTTTCCCAATGCTGATGTTGCATGCTATATGGTGGCAACAAATTAGCGTGAAAAGAGATAAAAACTTTTATCTCTGGAGTTTTTTCAAAGTGCACAGTGAAGATACGGATGATGGAATCAATCTGTTGTTTGTCACTGACAGAAACTTTTTTTTTTTACACAGCTGATCATTTTCACTCCTAAGTCTCTGCTAAGGCTCCCGGATGCAAGGTCCAGTTTTGATGATCTATCCCAAGGTGGAGTTTTACTTTGTCTATAAAATGTATAGATATGTTGAAATGTTGGTGTACAGTGATCACATCATATTCAATGTCTGCAGGCACTAAATTCAAGAGGTTGATTCCAGACGAGGGCCCTGTGAATCAAAACCCAGCCCAGGTGAAGAGAGTAATCTTCTGCACTGGCAAAGTCTATTATGAACTGGCTAAAGAGAGGAAACAGCAAAAAATGGAGAAAGACATCGCCATCATCAGACTTGAACAGGTGTTTAATCCCTCTCCTCTGCACTGTGGATTTTAAAATGAGATGCGATTTTGCCATTTCTTCTTCTTCTGCTTATTCTTTGGCTTCCCCCCTCAGATCTCTCCGTTCCCGTTTGACCTGGTCAGAGCAGAGGCAGACAAATACGCCAACGCTGAGCTGGTCTGGTGTCAGGAAGAGCACAAGAACATGGGCTACTACGATTATGTCCGGCCACGTTTCCTCACAGTGGTGGCCAACATGAAACCCATTTGGTAAGGGCTTCTGTTCACTTGTCACTTGTTCTAAATCCGTTTTGAGAATTTATGGAATCGGGTGAAGGATTCGAACTCCTTTCACTGGTGCCATTTTGTCTTTAAGGTATGTGGGACGGGACCCTGCAGCTGCTCCGGCAACAGGAAACAAGTCCACTCACCTCAATGAGCTGAAGAGGTTCATGGACACAGCTTTTAACCTGAGCGCCTTTGAAGGGAAGGACTTGTAACAGAGAACTGGAACAAGAACCAGGCTGGAGGTGCAGTTTCATCTCCAACCACCATGGTCTATTTATTAAGTCTTCAGGTGGCAACTCTTTTAGCTTTGTAATAATCTGAAGCATAATTTCAACACTCGGTAATCATGTGTAAAAGATAAGTCGGTAATACTAACTGAGTTATGCCTGGATCACACTATGTTGTTCCCTGGCTCTATGTCAAGTTTATGTAACACCCTTAATCATTATAGCCTTTATTTGGATGAGGAAAACCTCCCCAAAAACACCTTGTCTGTGAGATCGGGTGGGAATATCATATCATGTAGACTGATCCCGGCTTTACTGGAAGAATCTGCACTTAATTCAATCAACACTATTCGGCACCTTTTTTATACTTTTACAGAATAAGTGCAGTGTGTGTATACACCTCAAAGTCTGTCTAAAGAAAGCTAGACACTAACACTTTACAATGAGAGACACAAAATTTGGAGTAGTTACCAGGGAACCAATGAGAAACGACTGAGGAACTAACTGCTAGTGAACCATTACTTAATATGTAACTTGAATGTTGATGTTTTCCAATGAACGCTTTTATGTTTGAAAGGCGTGACTGCTCGTTCGGCATGCAGATGTTAGACTTGAGAGATTATCATATACTGTATCACGCATATTAAGAGATAAGATAAGATAAGATATTCTCTGATTTGTTCCTCCCTTGTTTCTTGATTAACTAAACATTAGCTACTTATTACTACTATAACATTTGATAAGGAGTTATACAATAACTAATGGTTCACTAGCAGTTAGTTTCTCATTTATTCCCCGAGAACTACTCCAAATTTTCCAGTGTCCTTTATTCTAAAGTGTTACCAACTTAGAAGCATAGATTTTCAGCCTGCCAACAGTGCTACACCTCCATCATCTTCATTTCAAAATAAATTATACAAACATTGAATATAATGTAATAAGACATAGTTATCTAGTTTAGTGCTGAAATAGCAATAGTATACTCTTTGTACCTCTAATAACATTCACACACCAAAATCCAGATTTGTGACAATCACTTGTTATTGGAGTAGCTTTAGTACTATAGATACCTCCATTGCTGCCACTCTGAATATTAGTATATTTTAGTAGTATTGATTTGTATTTGTAGTGTTTTTATAGATGTATAGCAGGAGCTAAGAGACGCACACAAAACACCAACTTATACAATGACTGTGGATCACATATCACAGGTATGAAGACTGTTCTGAAATTTAACACATGAGTAGGTTTAGTGCCTCTGTTTGCTTTGGCTACCTTAGCTGCTAGCGGAGGAGTCTGTATTTATTGTCACACCTCACTTCACCAGGAGACATGAGCCAGCTGGCACAGAGACTTGCAGCCATGTTTTCTACTTAGGACATAAGGCTCGGCTTCCTCTTCGGAGGCTTGAGGGATGCGCACACGCAATAAACACCACACGTAAACACAGCAAAAGCCTTGGAAGCTTTGAGAGCAATATTGATGCCTGGCTGTCACATTAAAATCCCCAGGTAGTTAACAGAATTGATATTGGTTACCACTGTGCTTAGAAATGCTCCATAAAACTAGGCCTCCGGTTTAGCTATACTGTATCTTACCTTTTTCCACTTCCAGCTGGGAGATTTAACCATAAGCCATACACAAATGTAATTTACATTTTAAAAAAAAAAGAAAAGGTTTACGTGTGTTAGTTTTGTATTGAAAAATCCATATTAATGTGGGCATTGAAACATATGCACAACTTCTTGATAGAGTTGCATTTCCCCTGGGAACAATAAAATGTGCAATAAAATCTATTTAAGTTGAATAACATGCTTCCTTTGCTCATTTTGCCAATGTTAACAAAGCTGAGACAGATACATGGTGGTTATTTTTATTCAGTAGCTCAGGAGCAGGTGTCTGTTTCAGTAAGCGTTCTCCACAGCAGAAACAGCCTCCTTGCAAACGGGGTCCAGTTTCCCATCTCCACCTTGGGGGGGGGGAGACAACAAAAACACGACGTCAGACTGTGACTCTGTTTAACGTCACACAGTGGCGTCACAGTGACGTAACATATAGTCTGCCGCTTTCCGTCGCAGCTACTGTCAATGACCAAAACTCACCAAACTCAAGCTGCTTCATGTAACAGCTGAAGATGACCTGCCCGTTGACCACGAGCTCCACCATGTTCCACTCGTGCGTCTCTTCCAAGACGCACTGATGCCCGCGCGCTCTCAGGACGGCTGCGGACATATTGGACGGACAGTGTTTGTGTGTGTGTGTGTGTGTGTGTGTGTGGAGGGAAAACAACGTCAACAAAGCAGACAACATGCAAGTATCCAACCTGGACTGTGGCGTGAGAGCAAACATACCCTGGAGGCCCTGCAGGCGGAAACACCTGTGCTCTACGACCCCATTGGACTCATAAGGACCGTGGCAAAGTGTCACCCGCGCGTTTTTCGGCATTGTTTGTTGTGGTTGCCTGGGTAACTGTCAAACAACGATTCACCTGTTGCTAACACGGCCTCCACCGAAATGCGTCCAGGAATCCCATTCGCTCCTCTTGTTAGAAATAACCTTTATTCAACATTAAATTGTTCACTTCTGACACACCAAGTGGATCTATGAGTATCTCATTACAATAAGTCAAATATTAGTGAGGTGTTTCCAATGATAATTGAATTAAGTCTTAATATGAGAAATACAAGATAAATAAATACATATTTTGACAAAAGAAGTCACAGTTATGAAGCAAAAAGCCTGCAAGATATGAATATATCTGGTGGATTTTTTGTTTTATTACATGGAAAATGAAACTATTCCAGTTGCTTTACTACCTGAATATGTGGTTATGGTTATATTTGACATAAAACACAACCAGAGTAGATTTATTTTTTTTAAGCTCAAACATGGTATATGCAACATCAAAATGAACATAAATCTTAGTTCCTTTTCTTTTAGTTTAATTTTCAACAGCAATTTATAGATTCAATACTTGGACAGTAATAAACATAGTGATCACCTCTGGTTAGTAAGTTTCATAGACTTACTTTTCAAACATTACATAAACACCCTGTAACATTATATCATACAAAAATAAAGAACTTAATATGTATATGTATATGTAATATATATATATATATGTAATATATATATGATATATTCTTCTTATAGATTTACAAATACACAGTTTTGATCACACTTAACATTCTTTGATAAACTAAATAGTATCCCTTTAAAATGTGGGTCAGTTACTTTTTGTTTCTTATATACACAAGCACAATATGAGTGAAATACAATACAGTATGAGCTAAATGTCTTATGATTTGATGAAAGGATACAGACATTTTTAGTAATACCACATATTTTGTTGGTACAATAAACTCAACACAAATAGAAATTGCATAGAAGACTCTAGTTTTACAATGTACCATAATCTTCATAAAATCATTTAATAGCAGCATGCGATTCGCAAGTTGACATATAGTGAGACAATCAGCCATTTATCATCACTCACAGATTGCAATGTCAAACTGACTGACAGACTTCATGGACAAAGTGATACAGACATGGTAAAGGGAGAATGAATCTTTGCTCATTGCCCGCCAAACCTCAACTGGTCGTCACCAAACGTCTTCTTTTTTCTTTGGCTGATTCATCTCAATTTAGTGCAAAATAACAATCAAAAGCACAAATTTGGCTTGTATTTTTACCTAAGTACAGTTCCCATTGTGACAGACATTTGAATTACTGTTGCATATTAGATTTTTTTTGTGACAACAGCAGAAAAACCTCTACAACAACTGCACACCTCTAATGCTCTATAAGAATAATTAGATTCTCTTCAGCACTTGATACATATTACAATACAGTAAACAGCTTTACGTTACATTTTGTATCACAGTTACAGTTTATATTTTGTGAATGACTCAAGAGGAATACATTGTTGCAGCACAAAAACACACATTTAAAATCACACCGCCACTATTTTCAGTTTCCTATGATTTACTCCCATTCTTTAAAACTTGTGCCTCTCCTTGTGATGAAGTCTGGGTTTGAGCCTCCACTTTAGTCTGGTCTGGTGTCTTCAGCAGTACCTGTGGCAGGGTTTGCTGGTTCTTGGTAAGGTCAGCTGGTGTCTGCTGTGTTTTGCTTTGCCAGTTTGTGTCTGTTTGTGTGTGCGTCTCCAGCGTCTGACCCTGTCTCTGCGTGGCCGCTTTGGAGCCGGAGTTACACTTATTGCACAGATCCCTCATGTCCAGGAGTCCCTGCACCAGACACTTGACAAATTCTGCTGAACTTGTCTCTGGGCTCTCACGGAAACTGGACACGGAGAAGATAATGTGGTCGGACTGAGGGTTGTAGCACGCTCCATATCCGTTTGGAAGCACGGGTCCGTAGCAGCAGAACATCTCAACAGTAGTAGGAACCTGAGGGAAGAAGGAATCCTTCAGTACTGAAGTACTGACAGTTTTACTAGTGTGTTCAAATACTGCTGAAGGTGGAGAGGTTGAGAGGTTGTCTGCCAGTAAACTAAACCTAAATTGCAGTTTGGACAAAAATAACCAAGTGGCACTGAATTAAAAACATCTCTCTATGTGACTGTAGTGTGTCATTAAAGGGTTTAATATTACATTTCCTGATATCCTTTACAGTATAGGTCAAGCTCCAAAAATACTGNNATTTTGACAACTCATTAATAAGTTAAAACATTTTTCAAGCAAAATTGCTAAATGTGGGAAGGTTCCAGGCTCTCAAAGTTTTTCTTGTTCCTACATTATAGTATACTCAATACTATATTCAATTTCCTTGAGGGAGTCATCCCAAAGGGATCAATAAAGTGAAGTCTAAGTCTAAGTCTACTCAATATTTTTGGGCTTGGGACTGTTGGTCAGACATTAGATACCGTTAGCTTCTGCTTTAGGGAATCATTGTTTTCTGATGTTTTATAGACCAATAAATTAATCAAGAAAGCAAGCTACAGATTAATCGATAATGACAAGAACTGTTTTGATACAGCCCTACTTAAAAAAACCCTCTTGGCTACGCTGACTTCTTTCAAACGCCACCAGCTTGTAGCTCAGGGTTTTATTTTAAGTGTTTCACAGGCCAGGCGGTACTCCTTGTGACGACTGGTAAACTGATCTTAATCTGTAAAATTGGTAAAGTGCCCTTTTAAGAACATTTTTGACAAATTATGGCTTCAGTTTAATGTTTTAAAATCAGATGACTGTACCTGACTTGTGGAGAGAATGAACTGATTACTGATGAGATGGGCTTCGTCTTTGAATATTTCTGGCTTCTCTATCTTCAGGTCCTGTGCAATTTCACGTAGTCCCAGTAAGTGATTGTCTATTGCCATCCCTGTAATAGCCTGAAAAGGAGAACACATACATTATTGCATTTTCTTTGAAAAGCAAAGTCAACATTGTAATAGAAGGCTGGAGGAGGTTAGAGGATAGTTACCAGAATAGTATACTTTGTCTGTGCTGTGATAGCACCTCGTAACATCTCCATCTTTTCTTTATCCTGGAAAACAAACAAATAACTGAGAATTGATACAAGACTGTTAAATTTCTTCATTTACGGTAGGTACAGGTAGAGTGCATCAATAGAAAGAAAAAAAATTCAAACTCACAATCTTATTACATTATTAAAGTTTTTACTCTGCAGCAGCATTCATTCAGATTGGACAGTGTGGTGTGTGTAGCATCCAGGTTAAAACGTCTTACGCATGTGCTCTGTTCCCCATTAGTCATTGCTTTGACAAAGGCCAGGGCTTCTGGTGTGGCTGAGCGGATGTTGTCCACTCTACCCTCCTTAAAACGCCTTATGGAAGCACTCTCATAGGTCGACACCGGTCTGCCATGACATCTAGAGTAACACACAAAGAGAAAGCCTTGTAGCTAGGAGCCTGGAGTTAATGTAATATATGTGAATCCTGTTATATTTATCTTTCTCTTACCGGTAGTAGGCTAACTGCAGGGCAACCTGGATGTAGGCATCTGGACTCATTTTCTGTTTCTTGATGAACTCTTTCCCATAGTCGTAGAATTTATGGACATTCATGTCCAGATTTTTCACCAGCCTGAGCAGATAAGAATAAATTGCACTGTAAGCTGAAAGCTTTTATTAATTTGTTTGATTGTACAGAAACCAGAGTAAAGCCAGACCTCTGTAGTTTGTCAGCAGAAGAGGCGAGGAGTTTGTGAATCTCTGGAGTACATTTCCAGCGGAGTCTACGTGGTGCAGGCAGCTCGCTCACACTTGCAGCCCTGACGAGCTTTGATGGGCTGCCAATCCTGATGTCACATGGACATACAATATCATTTGGTATTTTTTAGTTAGTATAGTCTTTCGAAAACAAATGCCAAAAATGTTATCACACACACACGTTGTACTTTCAAAATCCAACTGCATTTCATTTCTTACATGTATTTGAGTAGATACTCTGTGCACTGCACAAGGACAATTCCTTCAAACGCTGAGTGTTCGCACACAACTCCGCAGCAGCCATCAGCTCCTACGACAAACTGACACAGTCACGCTATTTTCAGTAGGATTGAACCAAACTGCAATGCTAGATTATCTAAGATTCATTTCATCAGCATACGTACTGCAACTACATGCTCCTTCATATACATTTCATCCACATGTTACATGAAGAAATAATTTAGGTAGCCTCCAACTCTCCAGGTAGTGAATATTAATCAGATGATTCATTAAAGTAATCTGAATTCTTTATCAAAGGCTTGTAATCCAATGGGAATGTTAACTCTTCATCAGAATCTTTTTTAATTTAAATTCTTAATTTGGCATGGGATTGGATAATTACATCCACTGGCAATGTGTTAGAGGAGCATGAATTTGTTCAGTTATGTAATTTTTCACAAGAATCAGGGAGTTAAATTGATCCTATTGTATAGCATCCATTCTTCATCTACATTCCTTTAATGCTTAAAGAGGCACATGTTAAATTAGCCTTAATAGCCAATAACTAACCTGCATGGGTTTGTCATACCAGCGGTTTCCCCCATTCTTGGCCGCTCCACCGCCGTGTAGCATCAGCATGGCACGTGTGGTGTCACTTAGCTCAGGCCCAGTGGCGTCATCAAGACAAACCAGACACAGACAACGCTCGATCATGTCCAGAGAGTCCCTGTTAGTAGACTCTAGAGGATATTACGTTAAAAAAAAAGTCAATTTGGTGGGGGAAATTGGAATCACTGAGATATACCTGACTTCAAAGCCTTGAACTTCTATTCAAATGTACCTCTCATTAGCACCCTACGAGCCTCGGCCCACTCTGTCCGCCCATCTGAAGTGAGAAGACCAATAGGTGGGAGCTGTTCTTCCTCGATGTCAGCCATCCTGGCAATCTTCTCCAGCTGAGTCAGCAGGTCTCTTTCATTCAGTCGGCGGAAGTTGATCACCACATCCAGCACAAAGAACTGGACAGGGGTTCAGGTTAGACACAGG